CTAACAGGCGGAGCTGAAGAAACTACTCCTTCGGCACCTACTACTGAAGAAGTTCCGGTAGCAAGTACCAGCCCCGGTGGTGGAGGTGGCTCATGGGAAACAGAAACTTTATTCCCGACTCCTTCCACAGCAGCACCAAGGTAAGGATCCCGCCTTAGCACTCTTTCTGTGAATTCTTGCAATTCCGTGTTCTGCGACCCGTGAGTTACCCGTGGAGCTCGTAAACGTCCATCTTTGCATTAGTGATCACGCTGATGATCGCAATGCAGCCGACATTTTGGCATTTTCTTTCCAGTCAAAATTCTTAGAGCATTGTTTACGTCGAGAACATAACAATGTAAGAAAATGAGTAGTCACTTATTATTGGAGTCCCGCATTATACGGGAAGTTTCTGCGCTCCACGGGTAACACGAGTCACAGAAATCGCAAAAACGAGGGACTTGCGACAATCGCGCGAATAGATGGCCGAGTGCTCAGGATGTTTCAGTGCTAAAATCGGCGTATATTTTTTTCTTCAAATTTTTCAGGAAACCTTCTGTGCTGGTGCTGAAAATGAAAATTCCCTCATCTTTGGATCTGCAGTCTTTCGACCTTGCAAGCAATCTTACCGCTGCCCTCAACGAAGTTGTTAAAGACTCGGTCAAGCGAGTTAGAAGGTCCAAGAGATCACTGCTAGATCAGGATCAGAACTACTTTGTTCAGGTTGAGGCTTATTTAGTTAATTTTGAAATTATCAGAATTCCAAGTGTGCAGGTCCACAAGATCGAACGAAACGGAAACGCTGTGCGTGTTTTATTCTCCGTAAACGAGACTGAAGTGGACTCGTCTATGGTCGAGAAAGATCTCTCGTCTTTGGATCGCAACTATCTAATGCGTTTTTTTAGTTTTCCTGTAAGGGATGTCAAAATCACCCGAGCTAGATATCAATCTGCTTTTTAGCTTTTATCATCTATAAGCGCAGCTAGCTTGGATAACTACCTCGACTTTGTTGTGCTTGGCTCGCTAACGCTAGTGCTCTCAGTTGCATTTATTTGTTACATAT